CGCCAACTGACTGAGTATATACCAGAAATACAATGCGGCAATGCAACTGATGTAGAGAGGCTATAGTTGTTTTCAAATCATCACACTGGTTCGTCATCACACAAATGTTCTTGAAGCTCTGCTGACATTTGTCAACCTATTAGAGTACACTTTACTAGAAAGTAGTCTAACACTAGCTCTGATTGGTTGCAAATCCAGAGCTTGGCAAAGCTCTGCTGACATTTGTCAACCTATTAGAGTACACTTTACTAGAAAGTAGTCTAACACTAGCTCTGATTGGTTGCTAATCCAGAGCTTGGCAAAGCTCTGCTGACATTTGTCAACCTATTAGAGTACACTTTACTAGAAAGTAGTCTAACACTAGCTCTGATTGGTTGCTAATCCAGAGCTTGGCAAAGCTCTGCTGACATTTGTCAACCTATTAGAGTACACTTTACTAGAAAGTAGTCTAACACTAGCTCTGATTGGTTGCTAATCCAGAGCTTGGCAAAGCTCCTACTTTCAACTGTGTCAGATTGTAATAAGTAGTCACATGTACATAAAAGTTTGTTCCACTACAAGCTTGCAGCAACATTTTTGTCAGCTGAGGTCTGTTATTCATTCATTACCTCAACTTGGGGCTAATCTGCACTGGCTCGGAAGGTTGTAAATGATTAGCTAGTTTGAATTTGCATAACAATACTGACAATTAACGTGCATTCAACGCCACAAGTTTTTTTGTTTTTTTAGCCAATCAGAATTCATCTTCCGAGCCAGTGCAGATCAGCTATCAACTTGTGTGGTAATTCTTCATCATTCACGATTTTGTTTACCGGTAATTTCTATTGCATTCCATTTCCACGGTCGACCCAAGGTACATGTGCCTATATATGTAATATCAAAGCAATTGGACTTGCGGTTTTTAACAAGAAGTCGAAAATATCACTTTTTACCAAAAATTACAAAAATATTCATCAAAATTGGAGAATTAAAGATATCTTGAATGAACAAGGCCGAGAGAAGTCCACCTGTAGTACTATATATATATATATAATATCAAAGCAATTGGACATGCGGTTTTTATCAAGAAGTCAAAAATATCAGTTTTTACCAAAAATATTCATCAAGTCAAAGAATTAAAGATATCATTATGAATTGAACAAATCTAAGAGGTCTGCCGAAGATACATATACACCAAGTATCAAAGCAATAAGAATTGTAGTTTTTAAAAAGGACTCGAAAAAGTAAAAAGTTGACACGAACGACGGACAATCACTCATATAAGCTCCACTCAACAAAGTCGACAGCGAAGCTAAAAACTAGTGGTTGGGTGCAGTCATATCTACGTTGTATGTTTTACAGACGCACAAAGTACAGAACCGATCGGTGGGTTTGCCAAACCATGCTATTCGAATAAAACGGCTACATTGAAGTTTTTAGATTGTATTACAGTGAGCACAAATAAGATTCATACAGGCAGATTTCCTGGGAAAGTTCTTATCAATGTTCCAATAACCCCATCAACTTCCCCCAGACAGTTGAAGTGAATGCAAAAAGACTTTCTTTGTACAGACACAATATGAAGATGCACAACTTTGCTGCAGTACGAACCAAGACAATATTGGATTAGTCCAATATTAAGTGGCGCCAGGGAAAGCGAGATTGTCACAAAATGTAGCAAATCGTTTTCATAACATTAGATACCACCAATAGTCACTAGCGGCATTGTAATGTTCGTAGGGATTTTCCAAACTCCCCATACCTGCTTGTAAAGGTCTGTGGTAATCCTGCAAAGTCTTATTCAATATTTGTCCAATGAACATTTACACAAAATTTGAACATGTGCTGCATGCGACCACAATCTTTGTCAACTTTTATAGAAACAATTCATTGGTTCATTAATTTATTGCTCTAACACAATTTCCTACAAACCACATTTACATGTAGTGGTAGTTTAAATTTCCTTCACGTAGGAAGAAGTCTTATCTGTCTGAATCGGGTTGTCAGACTTGTACAGGCAACTATCTGTAGATAACACATTTATCTCGGTTGTCTTCCACTGTACGAGTCGCAGGATCACAGTTAAATATAATTGGTTTGAAATACTTTAATAAAAAATTCAAAAATAGAATACAACTATGAATGGAACAGTAAGTAATAAAACAATCATGGCAGTATCTGTAAAAATATATATGGTGTAGTACTTTCATCTGTTGCACTACTTTCAACACGAAAACTTTGTGTGGTTATGGTGGCAGTTAATGCTGTTGGTACATGTATGTTGATTGCAAGTACCGGTATGTATAATTGAAGAAAAAATTGAAATTATATCTAGATCTCATTATCATGCTACTACTTTTTATGATATGGTGCGTCTCGTTTATTATCTGCGTGAAGAATGAAGAAAAGAGCATCATCTTTGTAAGCAGAGATATTCTCAGATGCGGAGCCACGTCACAAAAAGCTATAGGTTTTGAAGACAGGCATCACTCTACCATGCATTTCTATGGGGTCTGCGTGAGCTGCTGTGGAACTTTAAAGTACCGATAATATTGAGCAACCGAATTTGTTATATGTTACACATGTAGGGATAATCTAGTTACGCTGTTCAGGAGAGTCTCAACTATCCCAAAGTAGTTTTCTACCTTTGTTTTCACTGTGATGGTTGCCAGGCGGTGAAAATGCCTAGAAGTCTGCTCCCGAGAATATCGATACAGAGTGAAAATTTAAATATTAAGCAAGCCATACGAAAAAATACATTCATTAAAGTAGCAATTACTGAGGATCTAAATATAATCTATTTCTTCCTATACATGCTTACATGAGGTAACACAATTAGGGTTGACTACGCCATAGGTAACACTGTTGTTGTAATTACACAGGTGTGCATACAGTAAAGTGCTCAGTGCTCACAAATGTTTACATGATGATCTGTTTTTAGAGAGCTGTTAAAATAAACAAGCAGCCTGTCGGCTGAGATAGTTCCGCTGTTAGCAATGCACATTTCAATTAAAGAACTGAAAATATCATTAGAAAATAAACAATATGAATACTTGCTGTTTTTAACAAGAATTCAAAAATATCACTTTTCACCAAAAATGACAAAAATATTCATCAAAATTGGAAAATTGAAGATATCACAAAATGAACAAATCTGAGAGAGGTCCACATGTACTGTAAAATCTGCATTAAAAGCAGTGGCTTCTATTAAAATGGTATAATGAAACAGGAGATGCGGCTTCTATTAGAGCATCTACATATAAGAGAAATGATGAATTTTTGGTTCTCAATTATTCAAAAAGAATTGGTGCGACTTCTATGCGGCTTATAATGCAGATTTTACGGTAGTACTTATATGTATAATACCAAAGCAATTGGACTTGCGGTTTTTAACAAGAAGTCAAATATATCACTTTTTACCAATAATATTCATCAAAATTAGATAATTGAAGATATCATCACAAAATGAACAAATCTGAGGGAGGACCACATGTAGTACCTATATATGTAATATCAAAGCAATTGGACTTGCGGTTTTCAACAAGAAGTCGAAAATATCACTTTTTACCAAAAATGACAAAAATATTCACCAAAATTAGAGAATTGAAGATATCATCATGAAATGAACAAATCAAAGAAAGGTCTACCCAAGGAACATATACACAAAGTATCAAAGCATTCAGGCTTGTAGTTTTCAAGTAGAAGTCAAAAAAGTAAAACATTGACACGGACGACGACGGACAACACTCATATGATATGTTTCGATCGACAATGTCAACAGCGAAGCTAAAAAAAACCTAAAAGCACAATTTTTGGACAAGCTAGTGAAAAACACAATTTGACAAAATACCAAATTACACATCAGACTTCAACACAGTTCAGCTTTTTGTGATAAGGCACTGGACAGTTAACGAATCACTTGCTGTTGTATTGTTTTTAAACAAACTGCATGATAATAAAAGAATAATAACCACAGAATATGCACATGTTTAGTTTCTGACAACAGTGTTGTTTTCAGGCAAGTAAAATAGATGAAATGTTACTGTCCCCATAATGTAAAATGTAAATAAAAATATAGATAAACGTTTTGCCTGAGTGAAATGAAACTCCTCCTATAGCAATCAAACACGGAGGAGACCTTGTAACTTGTTATAGCTGCCTCTCCACTGGACCACAAACATTGGTCAGTGTAACTTAAGTTACGTTTTAACCTCTGATTATCCCAGTCTGGTCAGAGGATAGCCATTTCCTCTTCACTGGACCACAAACATTGGTCAGTGTAACTTAAGTTACGTTTTAACCTCTTATTATCCCAGTCTGGTCAGAGGATAGCCATTTCCTCTCCACTGGACCACAAACATTGGTCAGTGTAACTTAAGTTACGTTTTAACCTCTGATTATCCCAGTCTGGTCAGAGGATAGCCATTTCCTCTCCACTGGACAACCCCCTTGGATCCATGTAACTCAAGTCTGTTCAGAAAGTATCTCTCCACATGGTTTGTTGACCGTTAAACTCTATCAATAGCATGTTTATAATATTCCTTTGTTTCATCAGTGAGAGCCCAGCCTCTAGCATTCATTTCTAGTACTTCCAGCAGTAAACACCTTGCATAGCCGGATGTTTCGGAATCTACTATCTTGTCGCGTAATGACCGTAACAGCTCCTCCATACGGGATGAATCTTGCTCATGTAAGAACTTTCCTCTTCTTTTCAGCTGTAAATAAATGCAAATATGTCATGTGACACCAAACACATCATGTGACACCAAACACATCATGTGACACCAAATACATGTTAAGTGAAACAAAATGTCACATGATACCAAATACTTCAGGTTCTTGGATACTAAATATGAAACCAAATATGACAATTGATGCCAAACAAGTTTGGACAAGTACCAGGATGTGTGACCTTTAGGCATCATGGATATGAACCAGAATATATCAGACTTGAAAGTCAATAAGTTTGTTTTGGTACCATTT